AATATTTAGCTAGCTAGCTAAATATTTAACAGGCTTTTATTTAGCTTTTATTTAGGCTAAATAAAAGCCTTTTATATTTAACTTGCTAGCTAAATATTTAAGTTAAATATTTTAGGTGGCTAGCTAAAATTTAAGTTGCAACCTAAATATTTAGGTACCTCACTAAATATTTAAGTTACCGGTAAATATTTAGGGGGCTAACTAAATATTTAAGTTGCAACCTAAATATTTAGGTATCTTGCTAAATATTTAAGTTGCAACCTAAATATTTAGGTATCTAGCTAAATATTTAAGTTAAATATTTAGGTGGCTGGCTATTTAACTTGCTAGCTAAATATTTAAGTTGCAACCTAAATATTTGGGTAGCTAGCTAAATATTTAAGTTGCAAGCTAAACATTTAGCTCAAAAATAAATATTAAGTCACAAGTTAAATATTTAGGTGTTAACTAAATATTTAATTTGTAAGTTAAATATTTAGTTACCTAGCTAAATATTTAAGTTACCGGTAAATATTTAGGGGGCTAACTAAATATTTAAGTTGCAACCTAAATATTTGGGTAGCTAGCTAAATATCTAAGTTGCAAGCTAAACATTTAGCTCAAAACTAAATATTAAGTCACAAGTTAAATATTTAGGTGTTAACTAAATATTTAATTTGTAAGTTAAATATTTAGTTTATAAACTATGACATTTATAAATATATGGATCATATGGTTAAAAACTGACTTTGAAAAATAAATCTGTTTTTTTCTTATAAAAGGCTAAATAAAACAAACATATTGGTGGTAATTGTTGACTGTGTACAAACAGCCTGTGTATCTGTGTCAACACATTAGATTCGGGCTGTTTGGCAAAGAAAACTCGACTTTCTTCTCTGCCACGAGTTTCCTTTCTGCTCTGAGAGGAACAGCCAAAGTGGAAAGACTGGAGTGAAAGTCATCAGACTGCAGCAGCGAGGAGTTACTACAGAGAGGAAAAGGGTGAAGGAGTTAAAGAACATTCTTTACGCTGAAATACTTACGCTGTGCGCAACGTGACGTTCTGAAACCTCAGGAAGATCCTCGGAACCGGGTTTTCTCCGAGCTCTCAGTACTTCAGTCTCCCAACTCGGTTGTTTCGACTCCTTTTTGTCATCAGACTCTCTTCATCCTCCTCCACGTTTTCTCCGGGGCCACAGAAGAATGAATGGTTCCGTCCTCCTCCTCCGCCCAGACAGACTGCCCCCTCAGCCCCGCCCCTCCGGGCAGTCCCCCCATCTGCAGCACGGGCTGGGCTCATCGATCGCCAATGAAAATGCAGGGGCGGATCTAGGATTTTTCCGAGTCAGGGGCCATCAAGGGGCCACAACATTCAGAGAGGTGCTAAGTCTTTGTTCAACATCCTTTCACACAAATTCCCAGGGTATACAGGGTACCCCACTTCAAACACTTGTAATGTAATTAAAGAAAAGGTACCACTTTACAATAAGCCCCATGTTATAGATGGCTTTAAAGAGTTTATAGATAAGTTATTAATTCATCTGTAAACGCTTTTAAAATGATTAATAAGTGTTTATTTTGCAATAATTAGGTACTAGAAAGAGACAAAACTGTCTAGTTTCATTTATTAATGATTTATGAAGTGTAAACTTTACAAATGAATTAATAACCTATCTATAAACTCTTTATAAGGGGAGCCTTATTGTCAAGTGGCACCAAAAATCTTGCAGAGTAAATTCTCCTCATCGGTTTTTCATGCATTTTACTGCACATGGATAAAATATTTTCAAACACACAACATGTGAGAAAATCCAGCCATCATTTGTCAGCTGAAAGACTTCTTTTCAGGATTGTTCACATTTTAAGAAGAGAAGAAGAATTCTGTCAGCTTGATTCATTCTGGACTTTAACATTTGACTCATTAGCACAACTAGTGTTTGAACATGGAACTGCATCCACCATCATCACCCCCAGGTAAAGGACAGATGAGTGACAGGACAGGGGCACTTCAGGGGGCCAATCAGATTTCAGCTGGGGCCAATGCCCCTGTGGCCCCGCCCCTAGAACCGCCCCTGTGAAAATGTGATGTCTACTTTCAGATAAAAAGATAAATGTTAAGATAGTAAGAGGTTGTGATTTATGTAGTACATTCTACTGGGAAAATAAATTGATAAATGAGTGAACTCGTTAGGGGTAGTTAACACTTTTCAACATTTTCACAAGTGTACAAAACATAAGCTACAGATAAACTGTCACAAAACTATTAGAAGTGAAGCTGAGACATAAAACCCATATGCTAAATCTAATTTTGGTGGCAAAACTGCGTGAAGGTTATAAAAACAAATAAAATACATGGACAACCTGTCACGTTTATAGAACTGGGCAGTGCCTACATGCTCACTCAGATGTCCCACCTTGCAAAGAAAAAGTAAGCAGATTCAAAAACTGCTCCAGGATTTATTTGAAAAAAAAACTGTTTTTGAGGAACCAAAGGTTTTGTTTGTTTGTTTGTTTGTTTGTTTGTTTGTTTGTTTGTTTGTTTGTTTGTTTGTTTGTTTTTGCCCAGTTTTATTTTTGTTATACTGTACTGTTGTTACTGTTTTTGTGATCCAGCTCAAACTTTTTGGGCCGGTTTCGCACTCAGTGCTTAAATAAAACCAGGACTAAGCTAATCTGGTCTAACTTAAGCCACACTAATCCAACTGCTTTCTGAGTCGTTTAACTTCAGATTAACTAGTTCCAGACTACAGAGTCTCTGACTAAGGTAATCAAGTATTAGACTGATCATGTGTTGGAAAGTGAATTAGATTAGCAATCTGCACATGTTGCAAAGGTGAGGTTGTTCTGAAAACCTGGGGTGGAACTTTCCCATCACATTTGACTTCTGACTCAGCATGGAGAAAGGAAAAAGAAAGTGTTCAAAAAAACTTCAGTGAAAGTGAGAAAATACTTTTGAAGAAAATTATTTCTAAACAACCCATAATTGAGGACAAACATCATGATTCAACCACAGAAATTAAAAAATGAAACACATGGACTGCAGTTGTGAAAAAAATATAACTCAAATGAAGAAGTTACCTACAGGACCCTCCAACAGATTTAGGCAAGATTTAATCTTATTATTTACAGTACACAGATTCTTCTAATTACTCAAAATAAAACGTATGTTTGTTCATATGAGGCCATATATTGCAACATCAAAATACAGCTGAGGAAAACAGCAGCCATTGCTCGTAGGGAACATTTCAATACAGGTGGGGGACCCCCAGTTAGACCACAGAGCCATGACCTGKGGGACCCCCAGTTAGACCACAGAGCCATGACCTGGGGGACCCCCAATTAGACCACAGAGCCATGACCTGGGGGACCCCCAATTAGACCACAGAGCCATGACCTGGGGGACCCCCAGTTAGACCACAGAGCCATGACCTGGGGGACNACCTGGGGGACCCCCAGTTAGACCACAGAGCCATGACCTGTGGGACCCCCAGTTAGACCACAGAGCCATGACCTGGAGGATATGTTGACTGGATGATTGAAAACCAACAACCATTTGAAGGCATGATGCCAGATGATCATCTGGACAGTTCAGGTGGTGAAACTCTTCAACACTCTTTGTTACAATGTGTGTGTCTGTGTGTATTTATTGTTCTGCTTAGGTAAGCTAGTACCATTTATGATACTATGTATAAAAATGAAAAATACTATTAATCTTATGTCTTGTAGAAAAGATGTCTTATGTCTCTGTAGGAAAAAGATGAGCAAAGCTTGAATTAGATGAGGGAGGAGCCAGAACAGAGTCAGAAAAATTCAACCTCTGCACCGGTGGCAGCATCCAGGATCTTCATCCCAGGCAGCACAGCAAGAGGGGAAAGGCTGACTACAGTAAGTTTTTCATGAATAGAGTTTCATGAGCACAAACTGCAAATTGCAATCTAGGAGAACATGAAGTGAAGATGAAAATCCTTCAAGTGGAGTTGTCAGTCAGAGAGATGGAGAGAGACATGAAGCAGCAGCAAAACTTCTGTTTTTTTCTAACCATGCCTCTGTTGACCTTGTGTCATTATGAAATAAAAATATTCCATTACAATCATGATTCAACCAAAATTTATTCAAGAATAAACCAGATTTTCTCCTCTTAACTATTTGCAAAATGATAAATGTAGTCAAACAAAATCAAAGTGATAACATGTGGATCGCTCGACAGTTTCCAGCTTCTTTATCTTCATAAAAAGTGCTGCACAGCAAAGCTGTCTCTATAAGCATGTCCAGTTTGATACAGCCTTTAATCTGAAGTTAACCTGCCTCTGGCCAGGTTTAATATAAGTCTTCATTTAGACCTGGATTAGCTCTAGTCTTCCTCTAAGAAAGAAGATTATTTAATTCAAGACTAGGACAAGTCTGGGACTACTGTAATCCATAACTAAGAAAGCTGTTTCAACAAATCCTGGTTTAAAATGTGATTTAATCTAGAACTAGGCTTAATCCCTGTACGGGAAACCGGCACATATGGTTTAAACAAGTGATATGTTTACTTTTAACGAATATGGTTAACATGTATCAAGATCAGCTTATAACACATGAGGTTTTATCATGGCTGACAGGAAGGGGGACAGTTGGAACAGTTGTTGTAACTGTCCCCATACGATAAATCCATATAAAAACAGAGCACATACAGATGAGATTAACATGTTGAAATTAAGTTTACACCTAAAAGGCTGTTGGGTATTCATGACAGTTTTATAGTTTAAAACATMAAAGTGTTTAAGATGTATTTTCTACAGTTGTTGTTTTCAACAATGGTTTTAAAATCCCAGTTTGTTTAATGTAAATGTTACATAATGTAGACGTACAGTGACAATAGACAAAACACAAATTGTTCTGTTATCCTTGTGTCTAAAAGTCAACTGTATTTTATATCAATTAGAGTCTTTGACATCTGTATATAAGGTCTACTCATCAAGGCTAATCTATATTCATCATTTGATCAAAAACAATAAATAAATAACTCTGTAATATCATTAGAACTTAAAGGTTTTATTCATTTAGCAATAATATAAATATAAAAACAATAAATAAATAACACTGTAATATCATTAGAACTTACAGGTTTTATTCATTTAGCAATAATATAAATATAAAAACAATAAATAAATAACACTGTAATATCATTAGAACTTACAGGTTTTATTCATTTAGCAATAATATAAATATAAAAATAATAAAACTGTTATTTACAGTGAAATATATTGCATTAATAATATGTTGTAACCACCTCCAAACAATGTTACAACTGTCCCCGGCCTCAGGGTCAGTTGTAATATCTGACTTTTCATTTTCAAATACAAATAGTGAAGAATGTACATGCTTTAATCATCTATAAATGGTTTTGACTATTAACAGACAGATGTAAGTTTTTTGTATTAAAATTTGGTTTGTCTAATTCAAACCTTCTCTGAGTAACAGAGTCAAATGCAAAAAGTGTTGCAACTGTCCCCGGTCTCCCCTAAACCAGTTCATACCAGAAACTTTTTTATTTTAATTATATGAATTTTCCATACAATGGTTTAAATAACCTAAACATGTTTGGATCATTATGTCTAGTATAAAGTGTTTCATGGAGGACCCTTATCCTGAACTCTAACATAGGAAATGACAGCGCACAGGGGAAGCTTGTTGTTGGAGGTGGCAGGGGGCGATTTCACCGCCTACATTGATTGACAAAATAAATAAACAAATAACTCCTATCAGAAACTGGAAGTGGGTTCCACAAAAGGGGAGCCTAAAGCACTGCCTCCCATTCTGCTTTAAGAAACTGTAACCACACAAGCAATGGTTGACCATCTGAAACCAGAAATCATTATTTCAGCCCTGACCTGCTGCTTTGTTCAATAAATCTGCCTCTATGCCTTCAGATTTATTAGTCAAGACCCCAATAGTTTAAGTAATGGTACTGTATAGAATTGTTCAGATTGGAAGCCCAAATAATGTGCTGAGAACTGATTAAGTTCACTCAGAGCCTGGCTTTATCTTTGGAGACCTAAAACAAAATGGCTACCAATGGGGGTAATTTGTGTGTGTGGGAGTTATAGAGGGATTATGGACCACCCACCCCCAGCCCCAGTAAAATTACATAATTTGCTCTAACACAATACAAATTAACTATGCTCTTGTTTTTACGTAACTTTGACCTGATTTTAAATTTTATGATGTCATAGGTAAG